TGATTTAAAAATAACGACCAGAGTGACTCATCGAGAAACGTGTGATTTGCCGACTTACAGGCAGCTCGTCTTCATTCTCATCACCATCCCGTAAGAATCCAGACGTCCCCCTAACCCAGTCCGTCAGACGTTAACTCATAGTGAAACACGGGGCCAAACATGAGACACGTTCACAGTGAACTCCTGAAAGCTCTGCGTTGTTAAAGCCGCTCTGCTGTTTCAGCGTGGGCAGGAAACCTGGTTTCAATTTGTCTAATGTCGTCTGAGATACGGGTAAGCGTAGTGGGGGTTCTACGAGCAGAGGAACCGGGGGGAAGAATTGGGAATTTACCTTTGATCAGGCCACGATTCATTCCTCTGCAAACACAGAATTTTTAAAAAGGAAACTATGACAAGATTATATATTTAAAAAACTAACAATAATGGTAAAAACAATTGGAAGTCACCTCATTTACTGGAAAGAAAATGCAAAAAGGGCCCCAGTTAAGCCGTCCTGAAATTCCCTTTACTCAATAACAGACTCGCTTAAGCTCAGAGACAAAAACGTTTGCACTATTAAGCTTAAACTTGTCATCTGCTGTGACTTACGGAAACCCCTCTGTTCATTTTGGTTTTGATCTTAAAGGTTAAAAAAGACCCTAAAAGAAACAATGGGGCCCGACAACGAGTGGCCCCCACCACCATGCTACGGTGGCATTTCCCTTTAGCTCTCCAAATCCAATCGGACAGGCGACAGCATGCGTATGCCTGAGAGTGGACGCTAATGGGTCTCATAGGACCGTCCCGGCGGCCTGTTGCTACGACTGAGGCCGATATGCGGCTCGCTCCTGTGCGGTGGAAGTTAGGGCTTCAGTTCCATTTCATGTCCCCGTTTGAATTGCAGGTCCTCTGTTGCATCTGGTGGGGGGGCAATAGTGCGTGTCGCTCTCCTGTGAAAACCACATATTTCCAGCACCTCAGAAGAACAGTCCACTTTACAGCCTTTGTCTTGAAGGACAGGCTAACGCATAGGATTAGGAGGGGTGTAGAATAAACGGTGAAAATTATGCTTGTTAGTTTCATCCAGCCCTGGAGAAGGAGGGCTGGTTAACAGAATAATGAGGGTTTCATGATTTGCACATGAATGACACCGATTTAAATGTAATGAATAGTGCCGACAAACAGCAGAGATATTCCTCATTTGTCATCACTTCAAACTGCATTTCTCATTATGCAAGTATGCGGTATTACAATCTGTTAACGGATTGGATCCTTATCCGGAATTAATCAGTGTCCATTTACAAAACACCAGGACTAAATATGTTGTAAACATTCTTTTTTTTCCATGACTACAACGCTACGATGACGACACAGACGTCATCAAACCCAAACCGAAGATATCAATATGTTCCATCGGGAAAAAAAAAGCTTTATCAAGATTTTGATACAACAAGTGTGTCTCAAACACCAGTCCTGAAAATGGTGCTGCTGTAATTTAAAGTGCACATTTTTGCATGTGAGACGCTGCATTCGTAATGATTCAGCCTGAGTTCTTGAAATCATGTAACAAATCATCTAGTTTAATGTGTATTTAACAGGCACACATATAAAAACACATGTTTTTAGGTAATAAGTCATGTTCAATCACATGAAAGTGCAGTATCACTGCACTCTGTGGCTGTTTATTTCAGCACCCATGGTCTCTACCTAAAGTGCTCTGGCAGAAATGGGATCTCAATGAGATGGATAAAAATAAAATAAAAAGTCCCCTCCTTTTCCTTTTCCTTTTCTGGAATGTCAGATTAACCCATCAGTTTTTCCCCATCTGCCTGTCACTCAAGGGCGCACAATGAGCCCATAGCCAGATTGGGGTCATTAGAAAACCATCAACAAAGCAACGGATCTCCAGGGACTGCCGGGGGCAGCCTAATCTGGACCCCGGTACCAAAGCAATGGGTGGTCTCCCTCCATCTCCCCCGCTCTCTCTCTCTCTCTCTCTCTCTCTCTCTCAGGGAGGGTGAAATATGCGCTACATGGTAGGTGGGAGATGGCAACGCGGCCATCAGTCTTACGCAGCCATGCATGTGCGCACGGACAACATGTCAATGACATATTCATAACCTGGCGAGCTGCTAGGTGAGAAAGCAAATTCATCAGCAAAAGTTCAAGCAACAGTGAAAAGTCATCAGCATTTGGTTATTGACACTGAAAGAAAACTAAAAAAAAAACGGAGAAAGGGACTCTTTTTTAAAACTTTACGCAAATGCACACTTCGGCCATCTTGTCTGTCGAGGTGCTAAATGAATCGCTTTGAAAGTGAGAGAGAAGTGTCTTGTTCGCTTAGGCAACTGCGGTTCTCCAAAGCCCATCTGTCTGCCAGTAACGGTGGCATTAGGTGACTAAATAAGCAACTGCTGTTCGGTTGGGCAAAGAGGAAGATCCTCTTAAACGCTGTGTGTGTTTGTGCACATGTGCGCCGCATACAGCGTAGATTATCTGCTTTTATTAGCAAGAGGAAACACTGAATGGATGAATGGAGATTGTGTGTGTGTGTGTGTGTGTGTGCGAGTGTGTGTGTGTGTTGGACTGATAGGGGGATTCCAGAGACAGGAACATTCATCTAGAACCAAAATATCCTGTGCTCCCTTTGCAGCTCCTCCAACGTTGGTGCGCATACACACACACACACACACACACACACACACACACACACACACACACACACACACACATTTTTGTGGCCCAATCTGTTCAGCCAAGAAAGGAAATAAGCGTGTGAGTGGGTGCACAAACACATTTAGTGCCCTTGTGTGTGTAACGATTAGTTTCAGGGACTAAATATTTGCCCGAAAGGTGAATTCCCGAGTTAAGTATTCAACCTGGGCAGAACGCGTTCTCGTTTAGTCATAAATGAAGTATAACGTTGACAAAGACGGAAGCCTCCGCTGAAACCACACTTACACACTAAAGGTTGTGTAACACTATGTAAATTCTATGGTTAGGCCAGTCTTCCTCTTTGATAGTTAACTGTGTACGACCATCGATCTGTATGATAAACGGTGGAGTTTTATCGGAATATTAAAAATGACACTTGATGATATTAAAGAGAAATTACAGCTTGGAGTCCACACCAGTTACACAACCCTAAACTTCTAAACAAGCTGTCCCGACATTTCTGACACAGAAATCGGTATCAGTCGTTCTTAAAAAAAGGTGCAAGACACGAGACCAGCAGCACATCGATTGCCTGCGGTGATCCAGCGTCTATTAGCTAACAATGCTAAAAGTGCAAACTACGGCTAACGTGCGGCCCATCATCACATTTCAATAGCCAGTAGTCAAAAATCTCAGTCAGCTCAAACTACAACTCGTATTTACCAGTAATAATCTGACACAGCTTTGCATGCTGTCTGACGTGTTGTGTAATACTTTACTAATATCTACAAGTTGAACCTGTTCTTGGTGTTCAGTATAAATCAATAAGCACAACATAGACCAAAAGAAATCAGAGGGAGGAGCACCTGCTCCCGTCCCCTCGCCCGGCGGCTCATCCGTTGTTGAGTAGTGACAAGAGCACAGTTGCACGTGTCCATCTGACGCCGCTTAATGGATACACTGGGAACATTGCATTCTTTCCCAGAGGATGTTTGTATTTACTTTAGATGGGCAGATGCTGCACTACGTGATGAGCCTGACTCAAGTTCCCAGGAGCTTCGCTAACTCAGCATAATAAAAGAAAAGCGGCCTTCTCGAACACTCCTTCCCATCACTCTGGTGGCTCAGGTTTGGGGAGTAATCCTAAATTTATTAGACGCAGTATTTAGTTATTCAATGTCTCGTGTAAATAGTGACGTGCTCCACCACTTTGACACCTCCAAATTAAGAAATAAAACACATATAGTTTGGAAACTGTCGGAAAGGTTGCTGCTGAAATTCATCTTGAATACTGACGATATGAAAAACCCCAAATGAACTTGAGCGCTCCACACCGGTCGGCGTGATTGGCAAAGCCGCTAAAGTCACGGCCGCGTGCATCGGAGTGAATGTGAGAAACTCTTCTCTTTCACAACAAGCTACTGTGGCTGACTACCTTAATCTAAAAAGTCTCATCTCGCCCTCTTGCAAAGACTCCTTTCAGTCTCCCTCTCCATTTTATCTGGTCATCAGAGCCCCGGGCTCAACCGCCGGACATCAAAGCACCGCCAGTGGAAAGGGAGGGGTGTCTGTCTCTCCTCATCTGCCCCATCCCTCTGTGTGTGTGTGTGTGTGTGTGTGTGCGACGGCCACAGAGGGGTCGGTGGGACGGGACGCGGGGGCCATTCGCCTCCTCACTTTACACACAGAAACCCTATCACTTGGCTCAGTGCTGCGGCGCTGCCCGCCGATGCCCCGCCAGTGGCCGCTCCATCACATCAGACGCCTTTATCTAACTCTCTGGAGATGCGAAGGAGGGTAGACAGTGTGTGAGGGTTTCTGTGTGTGTGCGTGTGTGTGTGTGTGTGCAAGTGTGCCTCGATGAGAATGTTGGCGTGAGTTTGAGTAAGGCGAGAATGTAAATGTGCAATGATAAAAGCATAGGAAAGGTGCAGAGACATCCACACGCTGCGCAAAAAAGATCCCACCACATCTATTGTTTCGGTCAATTAAATACGAATATATACGTGTGTAAAAGAAGAAGCAATTCATTGATAGTGGGAGGAGAAAAAAGGGAGGACAACAGTGGGGAAAAGGACACATTAAAGCTCTGTTCTGAGTCGTGTTGGTGGTGGTGGTCTTGCATCTTCCCTCAGTAAAAAACATGTATCATATGCAGCGAGAAGCAAAGAGTCTGAGTCTATTTGTGTCTACGACCCAGTTGAAACATCCCGTGACCCACCGTTGGGTCTCTCTCCATCACTTGTGAGGATTTAGGCTCGCTGCGTTTGCCATTGTTTATTTTGAGGCAGCCTGTATTTAAAAAAAAAAAAAAAAACTATTGGAAGAACCCCGCCGAGTTCAGAGACACGAAGAGCACGACTCACCACGGAGGTGAGCGCCATCTGGAAGCTGTAGATGCGGGCGAGACCAAAGTCGGCCAGCTTGATCTGTCCTCCGCTGGTCACCAGGATGTTCTGGGGCTTCAGGTCACGGTGAACCACTCGGTGCGAGTGCAGGAAGTCCAGCCCCTGGAGCAGCTGGTACATCATATGCTGAGAGACAACAAAACAGACCAAACAAAGAGGGGGGGGTTATTGTAAACATGGTGAGCAAGCACACAGAATTGATAGAGTGAGGAATTCAGCACAGGATGAACACACAGGATCGTGTGTGGCTCTGTATGATGAATCTGATTTACTAAATAGTTCGGACTTAAGATTTTTTTCAAACATGTATTTTCCAGACGGCTTCAAGACCCCAAACCACCATGAATTTGTCTCTCCGTCAAACCAGGCAACTAAAGGCCTGAATGAGACCCGGAGGTGAGAAGTTAAGCACGAAGGCTGAGACATTGGAGGAAGCTCACCAGAGGAGACATGTGTTTTTCTTGTTGACTGTGGCAGATGTTTGATAACACACACACACACACACACACACACACACACACACACACACACACACACACAAAAAGAGGCCCTGTGCGGTACAACCAAGGAGCTGTTTCTCAGCAGCTGTCCTGCTCGAGTTAATTGACACTCGTTCTCCTCTTACGGCCCAAAGCGGCTCTCAGAAATGGCCGGAGACGCTGCGCCCGTCACACGCTGGGAAAAGTAACACGGAGGAGCGACATCTAAACCAGCTTAGACTTGTTCTTTTCCTCCCGAAGAACTCTCAAACAGGTCCCGCACCCCTCGACAAATAACAAGTATTTACAAAGGACTGTGGTAGAGGCAGCCACTCAATTCAATTCTACTTTACTTTTATTTAAACAGTTTATTTATGCGGGGAGAAATGTAGGTGTCAATCATTAACTCTGAAAATGTTTGTGGACGTGATGTTGTGCTGCATCCTCCCCACACACACACACACACACTCCCTCCCTCTCTCGCGCACACACACACATTAACCCCGACATCCCCCCCTCCCCAAAAGCCTCCGCCAAGACCTCACAAGTGACATGGAGCTGAGCCCGCAGCTCTATTCACCGGCCCACCAGCTGGCGAGTGAGTCAAAGGGGTCTGCACACTCAAGCAGAAAACATTAGCAAACGGCGCGGGGCGAGCTGCTGCGCTGCCCACAGAGGAGGAGACGGGACGCCCCACACAATGCTGTGGAGATGGGGAGTTGTGCGTGTGTGTGTTTTGGATGTGCCTTTGGGTTTGTGTTAACATAATATGTGTATCTACATTTCCACTAGTGTGAATGACCCTTAAACTGTGCATGGGTGCCTTAGTGTGCGTGTGTGTGTGTGCGTGTGTGTATGCATGCCTGTGTGTGTGTGTGTACCCTCTGACCAAGGGCAGGCACGATGCATAAACAGACCCTCCTTTCTACGTCTCCATCCATCCATGACCCACAGAGGAGGGCAGGAGGCAGACAGGGACATAGGAGGCAGGCGGTTGGTTATTTGGTGTATATGTGTGTAGGGGGGCTGACACAATACCCCCCCCCCCCTCCACCCCCAACACTCAACCCCCATCCTTCCCCCCTTCCATCAGTTCCTCTCTGCTTTAGATAGCCATTTCACCGTGCTTCCTTTCAGCAGCATTTCCCAGTAAACACTAATTATCTCAGAAGTGTGACTCTTGGAGAAACACACAAACAATCTTGGCCCCCGTTGGCCCCGAGTGTCACGGTCTCCGCTGTATCAGTTACCCGCACAACTGAGTGACGACAAGTACTCAGACGAGGTTCTACAGCAATACCTTGTAGAGTTTCAAAAGGGGGGCATACCAAGTTTGGAAAAATAGCAGGGGGCTTACCACACTGGCACAGAATTTAAGACCACACGTGGCACGGAGAGCTGCCGTGGGCCATCGCGTCACACAAAAGTGGATTTCAGCAGCAATGAGACTCACAAGAGTTGCCTAACGCACATCAGTCTCTGAAAAATAAAAAAAAACCCTACAAACTACTAGGCCAAAATCACACAACGTTGGCAACAGAACTGACCCCGAAAAAAAGCAGACGGATCAGGAAGAAAAAAAAGTCGTCATCCCTCTGCAAGATGCAGTCAAAACATGGCTTTCTGAGTGTGCCTCCTTTTCTAATGCAAATGCACCAGAGGCAGCCATACTGTTTATTGTAGCTCGGTACAATATGGGACATCTGCCGGTTAGCGTTGGTGTAATTCCTTCCCCATGCTTCATTAACCCCCCCCCCCCCCCCCTTCCCCTTTATGGGCCCAGAGAATGGAGTTGCGGAGGCTTGGACGATGCCAGGCGGAGGAGGGTGGGTGAGACCCAAGCGCTGCCCCGGCTGAGCCGCGGCGAGGCCGGGGCGGCCGGGGCTCCTTGATGTCCTTCCAGCTCATTTGATTCCTGGAGGAGGGCCGCTTTCATCAATGGCCATGCGGTGGGTCTTGAGTCTGAGTAAGGCTGAGTGGGTGGTGGAGGGAGGGGGGCTTAAATAGACAGGCTGGGGCAGGGTGGGGTGGTCTGATGCTGGGGGGGCAGATTGTTTTTAAGGAAAAGTATGCTGTTTCTTTTTTTGGTTTCGGGTCGTCAACGGAGGCTTTTATTTTTAGGTATTTAAGAGGGAAACGCTTCAACAGGTTAGAATTGAGTGGGATGAGCACAGGAGTGGCAGATTTAGGGATCTGTGCACTGGGATCCTTTATCTAGTGTCATCTGGTGTAGCCGGGGGGAAATGAAGTTGCCAGGAAGGGGGGCGGGGGGTGTATGGGAGGGTTACTGTGCAGTGTCCACTGTCCTAGAAATAACAAGGGATGGTGCCTGTGTCATCTTGTCACTCCAACATTGTCCCTTTGTCCCCTCAAGACTCCAGCTGTATGGATGTTAGGAGAAAGCAGGAGGAGGAAGGGGGGGCCTCAAGCGGCTCCTTATGCTTTAGACGTAAGAAGTTGGATGATTGGAAGTCGTTAGTGACCTGCTCTCCAAAACCTTTTTTAACGTCATAATTGTTACTTATTATAAAAGTTATCAATACTTTTAATTCCTCGGTTACGAAAGTGACACACATATAACCGTCGTTTTGCTAAAATGATTTGAAAATGAAAAAGATAAAATGAATTATTATCACAGAGTCTCACGTACTTTACGCTTCACTCCTACTAACACATTTATTACCTGGTATTTGCCGTTATAAATATCTCACCACTTTGTTTGAGAGCAGGTTTCAGGCCTGCCATCAAGTCTGAACAGAACAGCCGTTAAAACTTTGGCCGTCAAGAGAAATGTGGCAGCCAAATTTAGCAAATGATAATTAAATGATCTGTCCTGAATGTTTTAATCACCTCGTAATTTAAATATGATGTATGAGAGTAAATCTATATTGCATCAACAATGAAATTGCTACAAATGACTCACAATATTACTTACTTTCTCAATTGTTTCAAAAGACAGTCATGAGCCCAAGGTGACATATTGACACTCTGTGATTCTAACACACAAAGATGTCAATGAAATAGTGTAAAACTAGACACTCAGGAAATCCCCGTATGATAAAAGCTCGGAAAATGACTCGAACGGTTAATCCACTCTGTGCAGACACATCTTCTGTAAACTCAATCAACTCATTTGCAAAGCAGAAAATACATTGAATTGCCATATATTCATGCAAATGGATAATTTAGCTTCGCACTTCAACAAACCAGAACACTTTGAGCAGAGCGTCCTGGTGGACACGATCCCACCGCACCGAGACGCGCATAGAAACCAGAGTCCCGTATCGGACTTCAGCGGGAGCCCTGGGAAACCCTCGGGTGTGATCTGCCCGACTCGTCTGCGCTTGCACGGCGTCGCACCAACATCGCTGCCCCCACACAAATAACGTTCAGACATAAGCCCGGCCCCTCGGGGTGAAAACCAGCGGTGTCTCAGGCTTCCACCACTTCTCCCTTTCACGTGTTGACGCTTTAAACTCGCAGCGCTGTATTCCAGATATAGGGACGGACGTTTCATAACGCTGCACACAATACTTCTGGGGACCGTGGGGTGAAACACGATGAGATGAGATTTGTTAGTGTGGGAAAGACTAAAATAAAAAGGACTAGCCGCACTCACTTCCGACCTTTTGGCAAAGTGTAAATGGACACTCGGCGGGTTTGTTTTATAAGATTTGGAGAACGCGATAGGTTGTAGTTAGTTCGAATCGTTTTACTGGAATTGTTGATACGGAGGTGGGACTGCTGCTGAGTACAATCGTTGGCATCGAATTCAGTTCTTAAGTCTTTAAAGACAAAAGGGAACGGTTTTCAAATCCTGTTTCTCACACACTTCTCTTCTCCTCTCCGTGTGCAGCACTGAGTGAACTCAGAGGGAGACGGGGAGTGAAAATGGAGAAGGACGGGAGTCTCTAATTTGGAGCCCAGTCTGCAACATGTGCTGCCCTTCGAAATGCTGCGGTACCTGTGATTTTGGCAACGTGATCTCCAAAACCTGTTTGTAAAAATGTAAACGAACATCTTGAACATACAAATTCGTAACAATACACACGAACAATAAATACGAACTGGCGGTGGTTAACCACGCCCCTTGAGTGAACGTCTCTCCGCCATGTTGGATTTTTTGAGGGGGTTAGGGTTAGTATTCTATTCTTACAATTTAACATTCATTTCTTGTTAAAAATGCAATCATAACACGTTTATTTTACATGGTTAGACTTCACAAAGTGTGTTTACAGGGTGCAGGTCCCCATTCACATTGAATAGGGTGACGTCATCAGTTGCAGTCCGTATTTATTTCGTATGTATCACTACGAATTAGTATGTTCAAGATTTTCGTATACATTTTTACCAACAGGTTTTGGAGATCAGGCTGGATTTTGGTGATTTTCTTTCACTCACTCATCAGCCAATACCTTCTTGATGTTTAAAACGTTCTTAAATGTTACGTGATGTCCTCCTGAAAAGACCTCAAACGGGATCCGTGGTTACCTTAATGGTCTCGGGCGGTACTCCGGGATCGGGGGCCTTCTCCAGGTAGGTGGTCAGGTCCTGATCCACGTGCTCAAAGACCAGGGTGAGCTTGGTTTCTCTGTCCGTCCGCGAGACCGTACACACGTCAAACAACCTGGAGCGAGAGGAACAGGTGGAGGAGATCAATACGTGGACGGGCTCCTCGCTGCTCAGCATGCTGCAACGCTTCCAACTACAACTAAACAAGTGTAGATCTCCTTGTTATTGTGTCTGCATGTTCAATTAATTCCATTGTTCACTCATTCACCCTTATCTGCAGCAACAGTGTAGCCTTTGGTGAGCAGTAAATTGAGACGTCACACTAACTAAAGGTGCACTTTGGAATCAATGTAAACTTCACATTTAGCTATAGATTAAAGCTTCACATTATAGTTTTATTTTTTTGTTTAGGGGTTTTATGGCCATATAAGTTGTGGTTCGCCGTGTGAAGCTCAGAAATGCACTAGCCTGTATTGTTGTTCTTATGGAAATGGAATATTATCCCATGAAAGCTGACCAGAGTTGGACACATTGTGGCTGATCAGCTTTTCAGTTCATCCATTCTGGGATCTAAAATCCTATGACTCTCAGCTCTTGTGCGTTTCATATTACAGGAACTGTAAAGGCAGAATTCTCATCTGCTGCAAGACCAGCTGATAACAGTGTGTTAGGTTACCCTCAAAAGCCCCCTCTCTGCAAAGCTTGTAAAGATTCAAGACCATCAAACCCCGAACGCCGGAGTAAGCGACCGTGTTTCACTAGGCAACAAACTACGGCAAAGAATCCAGATTATGCCTGCAGGCCTGCCAAGGCGGGCTTTGGTGAAAAGCTGGAGAAAAAAAACCTATCCAGTACGTCCCCATCAAAAGAGCTCGGGGACCACAAGCGGCATTCCTCAACCGGCACTATGACAACTCCCGATGCTCGGTGGGAAGGCGAATGGGCGCCGGCTGTAGCTGCAGGGGCCTCAACACGAAGGCGGGCCGCGATGGACGTGTTATCACATCTGCTTTAAAGTGCATTATCCTTACGGAGGTATGAATGAGCCAATGAGGTAATACATATGATTTGTAAAGTCGGCTTGACTCTTCCATTTCGACATCCACAATTTCTTTGTTGACCCCATACGGCGATGTGTAATAAACCCTGTTCAGACCGTTTCAAAGGTGGTAAGCGCATAAAACTTTCCGGACATGTTGCAGGATTGAGGGTAACTTTAACTTTCTGCCTAAAAACGTAGAGCTGGATGTCTGGATCTGATGACTGATTATTGTTGATCTAGTCATTGCCACTCGATGTAATTGCAGTGTACTTACTGCTGTAATTGCAGTGTATTTACTGCTTTAAATCAAACAAGCTGATCTGCATAAGCCGTTTAAAATCAGCTCGGAAGTAGAAATGACTAAAGTCTCGCCAAAAACTCAATCCTATCCAAAGAGGCATCATGCGTCCTTGCCAACCGCGTTGTAATCAGTGAGCTGCAGCCAGTGAGTGAGAGGCCATTCATTCAAGGTATTAGTACTGCGCGTGATGTCACGGAATAGACGGCGCCCTCCTCTTGAAGCGCTGGGGTTAAACGCCTCTCACGGCTCGATTGTTGGGCTACAATGGGGGCTCTCAGCAGACACTGAACATATGGAATGAATAATGGCCTCATTACAAACATCCAGGGGTTGCCTGGAGTCCCACAGAAGGCCCACAATGCATCCTTCCGGGCCTGAGCTGCTTTGCTAAAGCAGAGGATGGCGTAGTTCCTGCTATGGTCCAACGGGGCGGCGGTTTGCCCTCTTAATCCGATTTATCGGAATAAATGATTCTGCATAATATCTAAACCGATGCTTCCATAGCAGCACATTGAATGGGTTCAACCACTAAATAAAGCTAAACATTTGTCTTCCAGCGAGAACAGAACCCATTGTGATCTCATTAAGAGAAAAACCTTAAGCCTTATCCTTTATTATTCATTAATAGGCTGGGGAATTATTGTTAGAGGCACAATGGGCCGAGGAAAGCTTCTGAAACATCCATTTAGAACTTCCCCTTCAACCAAAAAGCACTCAATATTCCATAATAAAATAACAGTACCAAGGTCAGACCTTGCCCACTGCCAACAGTTGACGCCGTATCCGGCTGCCGACCTCGGGAGAGGAACCATTCATCACAATCCGAAAGAAAACGACCTCTGTGTGCAGAGCACAACAACCGGCGCGGCTGTAGTTTAAAATGGCTGTATTCAGATGATGCAGCCTGACTTACAGTGGGGGGGGGGGGGGGGCCCTGTCTTGCCCCCGGGCAATTTAACCCCAAAAATCAAAATTTTTGGGCCCATGGGCTTGAAAATTGGTTGTTTGGGTATCCCAAGGATCAAAAATGCCAAAAAAACAAAAAACAAACCTATATACAATTTTTTCCTTTCAAATCATTTTCTTTCTTGGGATTACAAAGCCCAGCATTGGCATTAACTTTGCCACTTTGCTCTGTGTGTGTGTATATACCCATGTAGAAATTCAGGTATTTGCCTAAAATATGGGAACGTGTATATATATATATATATATATATATATATATATATATATATATATATATATATATATATATATATATATATATATATATATATATGTGGTTCTGCCACTTATAATATTAGAAGTCATTACTGGAATTGTCATAGACATAGACAGTTAGCATCCAATACAAATTTCCTGGTTGCATTTTTTTTAATGTATGTGTCTATATTTTGTCTTTTCTGATAGTAACCTAAATATATTCAGGGGTTACCACTGGTCATGATTATTTCAATGTGAACCTTATTAAATTGAAAAAAAGTTGTTCCCTGGGAACATATAACAGATTAAACTATTTAGAAAATAGACAATAAATAGAGATACGTATTATTTTCAGCCCTAGTTTACAGTTTAACCATGAAGTTAACCATGAGTTTAAAATATTCACGTAAACTTTAGGAAAATAACAAGGTAAATGCTATAATTAAAAGAAATGTAAGTAACAAGAAGGGAAAGGCCTAATATTAGAAACACCAACTGAAACTCGACTATAGTCGATCTGTATTAAACAGCTATTGATGATCTATTTATGACATGATCTATTTTCCAAGCATTAAGAAATCACAAATGGGCTTTTTTTTTAAACTGTTCCACACAATGACTCTTGGGTTGGAAGGCCACATGTTGGATGCTGTATTTGGAGCTGAGTCGCTTCTAAAAACCACTGTGACACCTTTTTTTACAGGAAAGAGCATGTGGGGGATCGGTGTGATTGATTTAAAAAATGAGTGTTGGCCTCACAAGGCAGCATGGAGACCATTTAATTTAAAAAAAGGGGGGTGAAGAAGCATTTCATTTGTATTATTTGTGAACGATACACAAACCGTGTCTCCCCTCTTTCCTCTCAAACCCACCTCCACCCCCCCCTCACTTACCTCACAACATTGGGGTGGTCGAACGCCTCGAGCTGCCTCAGTACCGCCACCTCCCGGATGGTGGAGAGAGGCATCCCCTCTTCCTCCGTCTGCACGCGAACCCTCTTCAGGGCTACGAAGCGCCCTCCGTTCTTCAGGTCTCTCGCCTTGTACACCTTCCCGTACGCGCCTTCTCCGATCTCGGCCACGGGTTCATACTGAGTACCCGTGCTTTCCTTGTCCATGTTTGCAGAGTGTGTGCGTGCGCGTGTGTCTTGTTGTCTCCTCGTCTCTGGTTGAAAACTACTGCGGGGAATCCCGGCCAGGGTGACGAGCCAGAGGGTTTCTCATAAAGGCGCATTCACAGAAAAAAAAGTGGGCACGTGCAATGCCTGGATGACAGGGAGACACAGATTTTGGGGGGGGGGACATCAGATTTGGTCAAGCTGTGCTGCAGGTAGACAATAACAGGACTGTCATCATGTTTTATTGCGACTATCAACACGAGAACCCCGTTGCGTCCCGACCTCCACTCCTCTTCCTCCTCCTCCTATTACGCACAGCAACCCATGTCCCCCTAACGCTAATAGTAATGTTAAATCATTAAAAAAAGCCACATCAGCCTCTTCTTTTTTTTTTTAGAGCTTCATTTGCACCAAATAAACAGCAGGCGCTTCACCCCCCCCCAGATGTAGTGTTGTTAAAAAAAAAGTTCACGTGGGTTGTTTAAAACACGTTAATGCAAATCAAACAAGAGAACACGCAACAAAACAGCCAAATAAGAGCGCACGGAGCTCAGTGAGCAGCTTAAGAGCTCCTCCTGTGCCGTTTTTATCACTTTCTGTTTGAGGCGACACCAACTCGGCGAGCACGTGGCTGTCTACTGATTGCATTGTCTGGACTTCCTACAGCAACAGTCCATTTAAAACACGGGAAAACGCACATTTCACACGCCAAATGGCCGCAGCCGCGTGGAGTCACGCGTCGGCGAGGTTTTCCGCGAGGTTTTCGTGAGCTTAGACGGCTTCTTGTAATTTTTTTCTAATTTAATTGCGCGTGTGCTCTTATTTGGGCTAAATAAAACTCTGGCACGGCGGAACAGACGCCTCTTTTCAGTTCCTAAACAGATTTTAAATTTACATTTCTAGCCGCACAAAGATTTTTTTGGCATGCAATTTTTGCATAAATACCCCCCCCCCCCCCTCTTTCGGTGTTTACCTTGGTATATGTTGTCAATAAAAATGTCGTAACTTCGGCATGTCCGAGGAAATGCTGAGGAGGCATTCGTAGCCCGGACAATACAACAAAAAAAGCGTCCTGCATCAAACGCATCTCCCTGTCCACTGTCCTCCATGCGGGGGCCACACAGGTAGTTGGACGGTGCAGCCTCTAATCCCCCATCCCTAAGACTGAGACGGCCCAGGCAGCGACGCTCAAGCGAGGGAGGAGAAGGAGGAGGAGGAGGAGGAGGAGGGCTGTACGAAAACTCACACACCCACACTCTCACTGCAACTTGTGTGTGTGTGTGTGTGTGTGTGTGTGTGTGTGTGTGTGTAGGGGAAGTTGGGGGGGGGGGGGGGGGGGGGGGGCCCCTCTTAAAAAAAAGAAAAAAGGTATAAAGGCCCTCCACAACACACGGCCCCTCTAGGGGGGTTTTTTTTCTTTTTTTTTTTTTTTCTCCCCCCAAAAAAACCCCGAAGGGCGCTCTTATTTTCGCGCGGGCCCCCCGCCCCCCCCCCCCGAGGGAAAATCCCCCTCCCCCGTGTGTTTCTCCCCCCCCCGGAGAATGTGCCTGACCCCCTTCAGAGAGTTTGACACGGAGGCGAAGCACATTTCCGCATTCCTCCCGGACTACAAAGGCGAACCGCCTTCCTCTTTGCTCTCCCCTCGGCCTCCTCGGGTGCTTTGCCATTCAGGCGGCCCCCCCCACCCCCCCAACCGCACTCCCCTCCGCGGGGTTTTGTCTCTCTGTGTCAAATCTGGAAGCGCCGCGGGGGTCGCAGAGGGGAGAGAGAGAGAGTGAGGCCACACTATCTCTCTCTCTCTCCCCTTCAAGCCATTGCGGGAGCTGCCCGTGGTAACGACGCAACGTGTCGAGCTCGCCCTAGATGGTCCTAAGGGGTCGGGTTCAAGGCCCCCGGGGCTTGATCGGCGTGTTGGGAGGGTGTGTGTGTGTGTGTGTGTGTGTGGGGGGGGGGGGTATTTGAAAATATGGTAGATTCTGCAGAGCATGAACATCTTCATCCTTCAGCTCAGGATGTACCTTAAATCAACGTCACAGCGATTTGTGCAGGTACATTTACAACATGTAGCTTTAGTATTAATCATGATTGCAACAAGAACAGTTCTTTTTCGTTATTTAAAAAACAAACACACACAGAAATGTAACTTCTTTAATTTAAATGTATTTGACAGTGACACAACCATATGTGTAGCCTAAAATGTGCCCATTATGTTAAGAAATGTTTAAACGAACGCGTACGAAATTGCAGCAATGTCATTTTCTTAAAACCTAAATCTACATTTAAATGAATGTGTGTAAATGTTAGACTTCGTGGAATTCGTGGCCTTTAAATAATTCCTTTCGATTTTTTAAAATTTTGTTTTGTTTTAGTTCTACCTCTTTGTAAAATGTAAAATTGTATCTAACTAACTTTCATTCCATGAGTTCAAAGTTCTTCAAACTCTGACACCAAATTGGTATTTCACTTTTTTTTTCTCCTTCTCTTTAATGCTGGACACGGTTGTAGACATGACAAGACTTGATGTCAGATTATCCCAATGAATGGCCAATTACAGGCGTGTAACCAAGCTGCATTATGATCACCTCATCGGGAGGCTGTATTAGTGATGCACAGAAGATCAGAGGAAGGACGTCCCACCCGGTGCCATTATTAACAGAACTAAATTTTTTGCAAGATGCCTCTAGAATCCACGGATTTCCACTGAAAAGGTAAAGTTGGGGGGAAATAATGACATGGAGGTATGTATGACTATCTCCCCTGCCCAAGTTTTTAGGCAACCCCACATTTAAACCATTTGCATCACAAAACACACAATGCAGACAACTTTTCCCAGACCAATTACTGTAAATGCAGCCATTTACATTTCTTCCATCATCATTGTTCTTGTGAAATCAGCTCTGAGAGCCATTGCCCGGATTGAATACATTAGCATGCCTACTTAGACCGAACCAATTAGATGTGTTATCTGCGGTGCAGAGATGAGACACACACACACACACACACACACATTTTGCAACACTCATCGATTCGTCAATATCTGACGAAACATAAGTTTCCACTGCTTTTGTTTGTCGTGTGTTCACTTTTTAATTTAGTAGAAATTGTAGGAACACGATCCGCAAAGAACATCCTGTTCTGGAACAATATGGTCAAAATGTAATGTTGTTTTCTTGAGTTCTTGAAGGTGCACTTTGAACAGTAATACCTCACAAGATTAAACAATTATTATATACTTGTTATAGCTCATGCATACCAGCTAAAAGCGACACCTTATTTTGGAACTTTTACGAGAAGCAGCCGCAAAGAGCACGACGAGAACAGCAACTGGTTCGTCCTGATTTTCGGACACAAGTAGTTTGTGCTTATGTGGACTTGTTGACTTACGGCACATTCACCAGAGTGTTAACCAATCACGGCCTTTCAATCGTAGCTGCAGAGCTTGTGTCTTGATACAAATAAGATGTTTAAAATGAGTCATGTGGTGGAAGAAATTACTTCAATATACAGTAAAACAAACGTCTGGAAATGTGATGCTTTTATACAAGTTGATTGCAAAATGTAATTAGCAAAAGTCGAATTATGAATTCTGCAAGAAAAAAAGTTGTCTGAGTTTTATATGATAAGAGCTACTATTAAGTTGGTGCTAGTTTTAACTTTATCTACTGAACTTATTGTAATGCAACATAGCGCCTGAGTACGTAAATCTGGGGTTAATAACGGGGAAAATAAGAAAAGTTATATCTAACAAATTTTGACTTAATATTTGTTTTTCTAATGTTCATTATTATGTGAAATATATTTATAATATAGTTCTATGTATTTGACACTGAAATTTAAATGAAAGCATGTGACATTTTTCCTTATTTGTAAGGAGTCACAAGGCCGGATATTTATTTTCTAATGTATTGTTTTTAATATATAATTCAAAAATATATAATGATAATTTAGAAACCAAAACTCAGATAAATGAGCTGGAATAAAAAGTACATCCAGTTTTCCTCTGTAACACATGCAGTCAAAAACAAATAGCACGAAAAGGAAAATCATTTTTTAAAAACATACTTTTGAAATTAATAGTATTTTAGTAAACACACTTAGTTATTTGTGATCAGTTTTTGGTTGCCGTTTTCTAATGAAAGGCGAATAATAATCCCTTATAGAAATTAGGTTTTCATAACAACAGTAGTTAAAACTTAATTAGTGCTCAAGCTACATTCATTTATTTTGCATTAACTTGGAGCAGCAGAGCAAGTCGTCATGGCATCATCACATTAAATAAAGTTTATATGGCAGCAAAGTTGACTTTTCAAACACAGAGCTGAGAAACAACAGCATCCAGTTTTCTGTTCACACGACAATCAAACTTCAAGGTTCACTCTTTATGGCCCGTTATTGTTTCCACCAAATTCTATCCACCCCAACTATGTGCTAAAAGACACTAAAACGTAAAGCTGAGCATCCTGTGAAACGGGTGTGATGACATTGTTTAAAGACCAAAAAGCCCACTAAGGATGCGTCAAACAAACACAGGACTGTCGCCCAGCAGACAGCTGTTCTCTGTTGTTGCAAGGTGCAAGAAACAAGATTTTGGGTGCCTCTGAACGCCTCATTCATTATACTTACTATACTGTGTTTGTGTGCGTGTGTGTGTGTGTGTGTGTGTGTGTGTGTGGCAGCTGCTGATCAGTCCAGCCAAGAGAGAATTATGTCCCTCCTGTGGAGGACGAGAGAGGCCAACAAGGGACAGGTGAGTTGCAGTCTCTCCCATATCTTCTTACACACACACACACACACACACACACACACACACACACACACACACACACACACACACACACACACACACACACACACACGCACAGCAGAGGACCCACGCACACATAGAGAGAAAATGAGAGATTGATTGTGGGCCTGTCTACCACGTCCCAGCTAAATAGAGTGGGATGTCCACGCCACAAGGTCTTTAGGCAGACAGCTGTCACACCTGGAATCTGATAGGATGTGTGATATTAGATTCCTTTTTAAGTTACCAAACCCATTGTGAGGATATATAAGCGTCACTTAGTCCGCATTGTGCGATAGTCGGGTCTCGTCCACCCATCAGCGGCTTAAAAATTCGAGCGACATTTTGCGAGGGAACACAGAACCAGCCATGGTTCCAGAAGACAATCCGAGCCTGTTTGTGTCTCTGACTTGATTTCCTCTCTTCCTCTTTCTTGTCAAGCCAGACTGAAGTCCGGAGTGTGTGGTGCGAGTAAAGCCCCTTCTCTCCTCTTCCCTTGCACTCCTCTTCTCCCCGACACCGGCCTCCGGACACAAGCCTCTTTCTGTTGGGGCATCGCCATGGAAACCAAGCCACTAACTTGAGGAGGCGACATAAAAACCTGCTCTTTTAGGGGACACAGGAACACCTGCCACCTTCGCCGACTGGGAGGGCTGGGCTGGATGCCTGGCCGCGGGCAGACACACACTTACATACAAATTCATGTGGTCACCAATGCAGACACACACACACACGCACACACACACACACACACGCACACACACACACACACACACCCCCACACACACACACACACACACACACAAACAGAGGATCAGTGCAACGAATGAGAGCTCTAGCTAACATCTGCTGCCTTTTAGAAACTCATTTATCTTCCAGCAACATCTCAGATTGTTTGGTGGCTTTCTTAACTCATGTTCTGGGAAAAAAAGAAACAAATAATCCATTATTAATAAGGTTTATGGTTTAGGGCTACAAAACTCATCTTTTCTCATTTTAACATCTTGATTTTGTATTTTTTGTAGCATCACATCACAAAGCTTGCAAATGAACAAATGTTTCCAGTATTCATGGATTGGATAAAAGAGATATGACGAGTAAGTGATGAGCTCCATGATGTGCCTTACATACGTACACAAAAGAGTCACCTTTGACCAGAGCCAGGGCACCAGCTTGTTCCTGTTGTCAGTAATTACGCTAAGCTAACGTCAGCTAACCACACGAGAGGGGTTGTTCATCTTCTCATTTAACTCTCGATAAAAATACGAAAGCGGAACTTCCTTATTCTCTTAAAGATGGCGCTTGAGCCAGCAGGCGATTAGCTTAGCTTAGCACGAGTACTGGAAAAAGAGCGAAGCAGCTAGCCGCCGGCTCTGCCCAGAGTACTTCTTAAGGGGCCGCGTCCAGTTCTTTCCTGAGGCCAGCGTATAAA